GCTGGTTCAAACTGTTTCCAGTGATGAAGCTTTCACTCCCCCCACCCTTATGAGATTATTTAAGGTTAATGGATCCAATAAGGAATTTGTTTCTGCTGCTCTATTCTTGGCCATAATTTTTCATTTTCCTTTCTCTAAATGAAACTTTTGGGTATCATAGCCAGTCTAGGATTGATTAGTAAAACCTTAACAGTTGATTTTCAAACTTCTGAATGGTTTTATTTTGAATTTGTAAAATTCAGTATTCCAAATTCACCATATGAGAGCAATATTTAGAAACAATCTGAGTTTATCTAGGCCCCTGTGTGGTCTTAATCTGCCAGCTCTACCATGCATAGTAGAATGAATGATTTTATATAGTTGACGATAGCACTTGAAGGATGTTTTACATGTTTTTCATGCAAATACTGACCAGTAAATGATTCTTCAAGTAACATTATTAGATTGTAGCAATTATACTGTCACATCTGAAACTCCATACCAGTAAAAGTGTATTATTTTGCACGGGTTTAATTTCCCTGTTCTTTTACTGTCCTCCTCCCCAACTCCCCAGTGAAAAAGGTAATGTAATCAAACTGTAAGATATTTTCTGAAAGGTAGTAACCCTCTTTTTAAAATTTTGGCAGCTTTTGAGAGGTTTATAAGCATTCTTATCTCTTTTAAAATGGCATTTTTATGAGCTTCATCCTTCTGAGAAAGCTTTATTAAATGTGTGTACAGAAATCCTCAGGATTTTTTCTGCAACATCACAGTAATAGCAGTGTTCCTAAAATTTCAAATTCACTCTAGGGTCACATATTAGGACAGATAGATGGAAGAAAGTGTCTTTAAGGGGCCATTGTAACAACTGTGAAAAAGTATATCTGTTGAATGTTTAACAGCATACTCTCATTGGAAATGAACTGGTTCCACTAATCTGTGAAAATGAGCCATAAAACCAGGACTTCTTCTCTAGGGGAGCTGTGGACAGTCAGGTTGACATCACAGACTTTTTAATTCTCTGGTATATAACCAGGGCAGTGGATAGTTCTGCTTTTGCTTTACTTTTAGAGACCATTTGTCCCAGTATGTTTTCTTCCTACTGAAGAACTTGTGTCTTAGTAATTGGTGACCTAATTGATACTCCAGCCCTCAACCTTGAATCACAGAGATGGAAAAGATGTCTTAACTATTTAACTCTGTTGACTTTTAGAGATGGATTGTTTCTGAGGGTTTTCTTGGGGGAGAGTAAGGGTGGAGCTTGTTTTATTCTGTTATTTAGAAGGTTAATGGTGCTGGTATTTGAGTGTTTTTTGTTTATTTATCAGGAGATTGTAGTTCCATGTAATTCACTTCTGATACAATGCATCTTACTTAGCTTTAGCTATTACACTGAACATCTTCCTCATCATCTAGATTCCCCTATAGTTATTGATGAAAATAATTTCCAGGAGCAGTGTATACCTAAAGCAAGATGCCCCAAATGGGAAGAATTATCTTGTATGTCTCTAATGCTTACACAGGGAGCTTAGCTGATTAGCTTAGAGTAGGTGACTAGCTTTTAGATGGTTATCTGCATGTGAACTGAAACCTACCTTAAAGCTGGAGGCAAACAGGGAGGCACTGTGGTTCTGATTTCCTAGAAGGTGTTGTATACCCAGAGAAGAACAGAGAATTTATTTGCTGTTGATAGATTTTTAAAGTAGCACTCATTTCTTAGAGTTACAGCTATGCAGTGTAAAGAGGTATGATTAATGCATGAGCTGAAATGTGTAATACCACTTCCATAGATGTTAAAGTGTAAAAATTTTAAGTATATGACCTCTCACTTCAACTGGGATTTAAAAAAAAAAAAAAAAAAAAAAAAGTGTTTAAGGGAGTTAGACATTCATATCTGTCTGTAATCCATTCTGAAACAGATACTTGCCTTTCTAAGATTCCTCTAAACTGCCTACCCTTAAAATTAAATGTTTATTATCCCAATTTTTGTATAGATATTATCATACATAAAGCAATTCTCTCTTTGCTGCCTGTATCTTAGAGTGCTCTGTTATAGCTCAACACAAGCATCATACTTTCATAGTTCATAGGAGAAGGTCTAATGCTTGTAGAGCACAAGGAAAAGAATTAAACTCTGAGCTCTGTGGCTGTATATGATTATCACATATTTACATTTGTTCTTTTGCAGTAATGAATTCACTGTAACGTGGCACCCAACTGTTTGTATTACTGCAAAATACAATATGAAGGAAATTGGTCAAATTATTATTGAGTTAAAAGTCGTTAATGATTACGAGAAATACTGAATTTCTCAGAAGCAGCTCATATTTTTAGGACGGCACCTAAGATGTGGTCATAACTTCCATTTTAAAATTATATCTTGGCTAGTCCAGCATGTGCTAAATGTTTGGGTTTGGTTTTTTTTTTGCTATGAAAAAAGACAAACGAAAAGTATGCCCAGTTCTTACTGTGGTCCAGCTTATAGATAAGTTCTTAGCACCACCTTTAAGGAGGTGCTATAATTCCAGGGCAAAAGTCTGACTTTTGTAGTGGCAGAGAATTGATGAAAAGGCAGTTTATAGTAGGCATTTTGCCTGACAATGACATGAAAAATGGAAATGTTGATTCTAGTAGCAGCCGTGTTTAGGAGGAGGCAGATTTCTTACGTAAGTAAAAGCATAAGGTCAGTTTTCCTGGGCATCTATAGTTGAGATATTAGACCTAGAAAAGAGACATGAGTATTGCAATTGTAAAGGTTTATTTAGGTTGAGAAGTATTTGGCTCTGTGAGTGTCATAATGATTATATGTGTATATATATGAGGTAGATTTGCTGCACACAAGAGAGTTACTAGCTTACAATTTGTGACAAGAAAAGAATAAATGGCAGAATTAAGGCTGCTTGCAATATATGATGTGCTACATTTAAGAGATTACATATAAGAATGCTGAAATATTTATTTCTACGCTTACATTTCTTCCCTTTTTTTTTCTTTTCAGTGTTTGCTTTTAGAATTTGAAACATGTTAAAAGATAAGCTTTTATTCTAATTTCATATATTAAAACCAGGATCTTGTCTGTTTTTAAGCACAAAGCACTAAACTGCCCCCTAATTGAAGTTACCAGATGTTAAAAAGTTTGGATACCTGTAGCTGAAAACATCAGCTTCTGAAACACTGACTTGGAAAAGCAGTGACACAACACTGAGTTTTATGTCCCAGATCTTCAGAATTCTCCTAAATATAGTGTATTGTTTGCATTTCTTTGGCAGTATTTAAGAACTTGCATAAGCCCATCTTTTATTAATGCTGCTGAAGAACAAGTCTCTAGTTGGACATAAACACCTAGATTTCCAAATTATGTGCAATTTTGATATGATAAAAATAACTTAGAATTATAAGTATAGGTGCTTTATGCTATGTTTTGAAAACAGATGAGTAAAAACTGATTCTGTCATAGTTTATCATATTAGAAAATTCACTGATAAAACTTCAGATTATTTTTGTAATGAGATATACAATGCTAGGTACTCCACAGCTTAAATTAGAAACAGCTCCAAAATGTGAACACGATGTGTGTGATAATCCTAATTTTTGAACCAAAGAATTGAACTAGAAACAAGAAGAAAGTGCAGTGTAAATTGACTTCATACATGCTGAACAGAAGATAATTCTTGATCTTCCATTCCTTCCCTAAATCATATGAGATATCCATGGTATATAAGTACATCTATTTCACATGTACCTTGAGCATGGCAGGTGGTTACCTATTTTCTGTTGCAAACGGCAGTGACTGTTAAATTTCAGATGTAACTTCATGCATCTTTTCCAAGCTCAAATATTCCAACCATACAAGCAGTAGCAAATATTTCTAATTACTACCTACCTCTAAAACCAAAACAAAGCTAAGAAAATGGGGTGGGGGGGTGCCAGGGAAAGCCAGATATCTCAGAGACCAGTCGCTTGTGTAAACACTTGTGCGACATTAAACCTTACCTTGGGCCTTCTGCTCCATTAATTAGCGCTACCTGCGTTACCGACACTTATACGCTAGACGCTGTTGCAAAACTCATAGCTGCTGCGAAGCGTAGTGGTGTGATATGAAGTGATGCAGAAAACAGTAGGAGCTCTGTCACTAGGTCAGCTGCAAGAAGAGGTGACGTGTGTGAATGTACAGTATATGGAGTTTTGTGAAAGATGCAGTCTCTCTCCCAAAGAACTTCAGCTGATGATACAAGGGGAATTCAGTTCCCTTTGGCAGGACTCCATGTTGGTCTGGATGCTGTAAATACTTCTGCTTCTACAATTACTTAGCTCATGCTGCTAAAAATGTAGTCATGACAGACTTAATGAAAGTATCTTTTTTAAAAAAACCCTACTTGTCTATAACAATCGTTTAATGTTCTTGTCTGCATGTGTGGTTCTCATTAATCTGACATAGCTATTAATACTGATGAAAATTAAAGAGAGAAAATCCAAATATTTTCATGCTTGCAGTTTTCTAGTAGCATTTAAGAAACCTCATGGCTAATCAGCTGTAAAATTTCTTTTTTTTTTTTTTCCCAATTCAAGAGTAATATAGCAATGTATGAAATTGTACTATAAGACTAAGGGCTTCAGAATCCCAGTAGATGATGTAATTATGACTAAAAATTAGTATTATTGAATAATTCACTTTTGTAATATGCAAAAGTAATTTTTTCTCTCATTTTCAATAACCATCAGTCTTAATATCTAACTAATGAAAACACATAAACAGTGTCATCTGTCAGGTTACCAACAGAGAATGCCACTTATTGGAGCCTCATTGTTTACTTTAGCAGGTAATTTATGGACTGGAATCATTTAATTGTTCTGAGCACATAATTACATGCCAGCATTTTCCAATTTAATTAAAATGTACAAATCTGAAGATTAAGGGAATTTTTGAATTATTAATCATTTTTCCTCTAGGAAATCTTGTTGCTCTGCAGGAGATTTGTCCAGTGTACAACTATACGTATTTTTTTCCTTCTCTTTCACAGACAGACAATTTTCCCGCAGAGCCCAATTACATGGGCAGCAGGCAGCAGTTTGTTCAAAGGTAAGGCCTATTAAATAACTTTCTCGGCTTCCCCATTTGCATTCTTGTCAAAATTGCTTTGCCAGAGAGTACAATTCAACTTAGAACAAGTAAATACAACTTTCTCTCTCTTCTCTCTCTCTCTCTTTTTTTTTTTTTTTTTTTTTTTTTTTAATATGTATTTCAGTAGCTCCACGTTCAAGGATCCAGAAAGAGCCAGCTTGAGGGACAGCGGGCATGGGGACAGTGATCAGGCTGACAGTGACCAAGACACTAACAAAGGCTCCTGCTGTGACATGTCTGTTAGGGAGGCACTCAAGATGAAAACTACTTCAACTAAAAGCCAGCCACTTGAACAAGGTGAGTGACGCCTCCAATGCTTACAAAAGTGTAAAGTTTAAGCCGTCATTATAAACCTATTAGTATTGCAGTTGCGGTTTATCAAGGTGGAATAGCCCACTGATAATACTATCAGAGAAAACAGTAAATCTTGTAGCTAGCCCAGAGCAAAGAACGCTCAGTATCTTTCAGAATGAACATGAAATGAAACCGCAAGTATCCAAAGTAGATTAAAAAAAAAAAAAATTAGTACTTTTCTAAAATGATTAGAATACACTTTATCTCCACTGGCATTGCCTGTGATATATTATATACAGTCCTTCTGCCAAAGCGTGATTTGGAAATTCAAACTAGACGTGACTGCAACAGATAAAAGAACGCCAGTCATTTACATTCCTCACGTAGTTTGGAGAAGGGGAAAAAAAGGAGACTTGGGATATCAGACAAGAGTAAAAATGGATCAGAAGATGTTTTCATTTCATGGATGTATTTTCCTATTTGTAATGTTGATTTTAAAATTAATAGTGGTGTGAGAAGTCTCAAATAATAACATAATCTGATTTTCAGTATAATTTCATTCACATGCTCTGAAGGTACCAAAGATGAGCGTCTGTGAAACAGCTAAAATCACTCATATCAGGACAATGGCAGTGCTCTCTGCAAGCATTCATTCTGACAAACAAGCATGTTTATTTCCTCAAACTCTGTGTCAAATTCGGGTTTTTTTCCAGATGTGTTTTATCTAATCACGAGGTCTTTTATTTCAAAAGAGAAGTTTCTTTTTTTTTTTTTTTTTTTTTTTAAAGCATCAGACAGAGTACTCCAGCTTTGTATGTGTTTGTGTTTTGCTTCTAGGCTGTAAGCAATCAGGAAGTGCACCACTAAACTATTTTTAAATGTTTTGTAAGTTTGCTATTATTTTAGTTTGTTGTGGGGAAGATGATTCAGTGTTAAAGACAGCTAAAAGATTATTAAATAAGTCAATCTTAATAAAGAGCTATATTTACAATTAAGCAGAAATATATTATAAGCTCTTTATTAATTGTTAATTAATGGGAACTAGGTTTTTTGCCTCTTAGACCAGTCTGATCTGTAGTACAGTCATCAGGAAATACAAGTTCAACTTCATTTTTCTGATTATGTTGAGATTGCACTATTATTTTTGCTGTGTAGCATACTTAGAATGCTGCAGTATAATTTATTCTGTATATATTTGAAGGTTGACCTCATATATGACCTTATTTTCCAAGTAATAAATGCCAGAAAGATTATTTTTTCCTGACCTTTTGCCACAGCAACTCTCTGCTTATAATTGGACATTGATCTGTATAAAGATGCAGTACTGGACCTTTTTTTTTTTTACCTTTTTTTTTAAGAAGCTGTTTCATTGTGTGTCTAATTTTCTCAGTTTTCTGTAAGAAAAATACAAAGTCTCTGGATTTCTATCTATCAAGTCATGAAAGAGTTCAAAAATATTAAAAGTTCCATCAGGAAAATTATTTACTGCTCAAATTAAAAATATGTGTTTCTTTAGAAAAAGATTGCATGGTCAGAGTTCATAATATTGCAGTTTCTCCAATGGCATCAAGCCTAATACTGGCCAAAATGTAAAAACTTTAGTAACCAGAATAAGCCAAACATTCCTGTTGCTTATTTTCATTATAGTGCAAAGAGTTATACGGAGGTTTGCTCTTGCCATTATGTCTAGATGAGGGGCCTTATTCATCAAGAAACTAATTCCAAAGGCTTATATGATTTTCTCTCATTCTTATTAAACATGTATTGAACTCTGAATCTTAAGTACTGTCAGCCGCTGAACTACAGCAGCAGGTGTTTATGTGAATTTTCTAACTGAAGAAAAATAAAAAAAAGAAAAAAAAAGAATGAGGATAGATAAATAGATACATAGACAGATAAACTACTTCTGTTTTCTTTTTTTGTTTGTTTTCTCCCCCCACACACAAATATAATTATAGATTATAATGATATCAATTTGTTTATTTGTACGAACTCTTCTGTCTCAAGTGTGCTGGAATAAAATCACCGGCGTATTATGGAAACTGAACCTGCAGTGAGCACCTTACGGGGTTACAGATCATTGCAGTAACAAATGTGGTGCAATGTGATGTTCCCAATGAAATCAACAATTGCTTGACATTGAGCTTAGTACGATTAGGGCTCTTAGCCCAAAGTAACTTTCCTCTTTTGAAAGAAGATAAACAAAATTGCTTTTTCTAGTCATAAGCCAAGTTGAAGGAGGGTGAGAAATACGATATATGTGATTAGGATAGAAAAAAGATCACATTTTCTTTAGAGAAAAACAGGTTTTCCGGGAAGAAATGGACAGCTTGCTGGAAACAATTGTCTACGGCAGCGCCTGAAGCAGTATCAGAAGTTGTGGTTCTGTCATCATTCTGGGTTGTGTACAGGGATGGGAATTCACTATTTTGTAGCAAAGTTTCAAGCTTGATTATTATTGCTTAAAGATATTTAAAATAGTTTAACTTTTGCTGTTAGAACAGTACTAATTATTGGATCATCTGGCATCACAATCACAATTTACTGTGAATTCAGGATCTTGACTTGAGATTCCTAATTTAAAAATAAGTTAAGCTGGAGTTTGACATCCTCTGTATGTTATTCCAAACACTGTTTTCACAGGTCCAATTCTATCCATGGCAGTAATAAGAACGCTAGCAGTACCAGTAGTTTAACTACAGTTTTGAGCAAATCTAGCCTAGAGAGCTTGAAAATTAAATTTTTATACTAAGACAAAAAATGTGTCAGTAGCACTATAGCAATTATGCTTCTATCAGTAATACAGAAGTAGGAAATTTTATGAAAAAATAATTTTTTTAGACAAGACATCTTCTGATTACAGGATGGGATGGAAGGCAATAAAGATTACTTTATGATTTGCATTAAAATAATGAAAACTGTGGACGGTAAAACCTCAGTAAGTTTACTATTAAAATATTTGGTTTCAAGGAAAATATCTCCAGATAGTAAGTTTTGTCCGGTAGTGATTGTAAACAATCACACAAATCGAAAAGATAATACAAATTAGATATCATTATGAAATGCTTATGAAAGCTCATCACTTGGCCTTAACATAAAGAAAGGGGAAAAAGACCCCAAACCTATAAAAGCTGTCAGGACAGTGAGTCTTGTGTTAAAATAAGCATGTCCCATTTTAGTTGTCTCAACCTTATATCCTCTTGCTGTGAATTATCCTCTCTGCATAAAAATATCTAGTTGTCTCTTAAGCTTACTTATGCTATCTGAATCAGCTGTCTTACTAAGCATCTTCTCCCATATGTCTGCTACTCTTTCAATAGAATGGGTTTAGATAGATTTGTTTTCTTTACCTCTCTTTTTTTCACTTCTATTGCTGAGACTTAAAACCCGATCACTATTTTGGACAGTTTGAGATCACCTTACTTCGAAGTCTCACAAGAATTAATAGTTTTGAATACATCTGTCAAGTTACCTTTTTGTTCCACCTGAAGTAGCATATATTATTCACATTTTATATTTAAATAACAGAATAATCTTTTTGTTTGCTATGGTTTAAGTATAACAGCAATAATTTCTATTTCTTAAAAAGATATCCAAAGCTGAAAATGATATTGTAAAGCATAAATGATATCTACAAGGAAGTAGGACAACAGCAAGATGTCCATTTTATACTGTTCTTAGTGAATCATGGTTGTGTTTACCTTATAATCAGTAAAACAATAGAGTTATAGACTTTTTTGTAGTTACTCATAAATCATTGTCTTTGTAAGATTTTCCCAGGAATTTTACCTTCCTTTTTCTTTTACATTTTTCTGTCTATGTTTTCTTTCTTTAACATAAATCTACATTTTTCATGTCATTGTCAAAAATATCCAAGGGATTAAGTATCTCCAAATTTGGTAGCCTTGTTGCTGAGTTTTTGCTTTATCACTGTGCCTTGCATCTTTCTTTCAAAACGTTTGCTTGCCGTTCACACCTGCATCCCATGGAGGGGACATTTCTGCATGTGCTGTTGCCTCACTAACAGTAGCACAGATCCTGAGAATAAACAAAAAAAGGAGGCACCTCCTTGGAGGAAGGGTGAAAGAAAACTCTTCAGCATTGGTATCCGACACTCCTCCAGGACCTATATTGCTCATCAAGCTTCTCTATAGAACAGCACCATTGTAATCTAAGGTATAGGTGACTAGTATAAAAAGGATTGGGATGTATCTTCAGGAATAATAAAAAAGAGATATTAAATATAACTTAAAAATATAATACTTCTTTCTTCATTGTCACAACAAAAATACATATGCATCACAACTGATGCAATCCTGCATGCAACAGTCTTAGCAATTACAACTATATCACTGTTATAGAATCTCTATGAATACCGTAAATTCTTGAGTTTGTCTACTGAACACATTCACAGAACAAGTCTGTAGCAACTTGTACATTTATATGCTCAATTTCTAAACAAGAATGATCCCTGAAATGGAGTATCCTGCATTATCCATTTGCAGCAGAGCAGAAATTATCAGAATTTTTTACCAAGATTTTTTCTGAACTATCCATTGATTTTCTTGCCATAATCTTGCTTGAGTCTGTAGGATAATTAAAATCCATTCTGTTTAACTGAGTGAGAATCAGTCTAGACCGATAAGTGCAGAAAGTTCATCAAGCAAATTTCTGCTGTCTGACATCATCACCAATGCTTTCCATGCCATTGGGGATGATGGGTTCTTTTATGAGTACATCAGCTTAATGAGATAATGGAAAAAGAAGATTGTGGGGAAATATTTCTTTTCAGAGTTCTCAGAGCTGGTGATGGCCTCTGCTGAGAAACTGATAGAAACTGCGAGTCCCCCCAGAGCTGACACAACCTGTGGAATATTTTGTTCAACATTGCTTCCTCCCCTAGGATTTTTCCCCTGGGCAGAACCTCTCCTATCACATTCTCTTTGTGCCCAGAATGTGAATAGCTGTCAGACTGCACTACTTGTTCTGATGCCACCTAAGAG